GTGGAAACTGAGGGTAGCTCAGTATGGGCCTGCAGGTACCCCTTGGCATAAACTGCCTGGGCTCCATGGATGGCATGTTGATGGTGGCAGGAGGCAGACTGGCTCCTGGGCAGAAAGGGGCAGGTCCAAGGAGAAACCCCTCCTTCAAGCCAGGAATGGCCTGAAGCCTGGGGGCTGGGCTGCCAGTTCTGGGTGGAGTTTGTGGCCCGGATTGAGAACTTATGGTGCTTTTCTGGACCTATCCATGGGTGTCCATGGACCAATATGCATATACCTCCTCCCTTCTGAGCCCATAAAAACCCTGGACTCAGACAAACTTAGACATCGGGACTACCAGCTGCAGGAAGGAGCTACCTATTTTGGGTCTCCTTGACTCTTCAGGATGACCTGCCTGCATAAAGGAGCCACCCACCATGGGTCTCCTCTCTACTAAGAGCTGGACACTACCTGGGATGATCTGCCTGTGGAACGGAGCTACCCACCATGGGTCTCCTGAGAACTGTTCTCTCACTCAATGAAGCTCCTTTCCACCTTGCTCACCCTCCAGTTGTCTGTGTACCTCATTCTTCCTGGATGTGGGACAAGAACTCAGGACCTGATGAATGGCAGGACAAAACAGCTGTAACACAAACAGGGCTGAGATATGCCCCCTGCTCACCATGTTGTGGGCAATGAGAAAGAGAGAAGAGCCATGGCCCTTTGCAGAGCCCAGACCTTGGGGCTCCTCAAGCCAGGGCTGTGACATGCTATAACACCCTCTTTGGGGCTCTGTGGTTCCTTGTGTCTCTGAGCTTTCAGGCGCCACCACGTTCCCCCTGTCCAGACATTGGTTCCTACAGCAGAAGCTACTTGTGGTACATCTGGTCCAGCCACAGCTTCACATGGAGCTGCCACCTGTATTGGCACCTGGAGCTGCCTTCCACTGCAGCTGGCATGCTTGGCTGTGCACAATGACCAGACCCTGTGCTTGCTCACATACTTCTTGCTGCTCTGTGCCTGGCTTGCCCTTGGCAGGCATGGGATCTGGGCTAGCAGTGCAAGCCAAGCACAGCCTGCCAGGCTGAGTGGGTGGAAGGAGCCCAGCAGGCACAAGCAAAACCCAGGCAGAAATGCTGCCTGCCACAGAGGTTTCTGGCTGGCAAAGTGACATCCAAGGATCCCATGACACTTACATGCACACTTTATCCATTTTCCTCCAATCTATTATTGAGATCTTTGCTTAAATATCACTTTGCTCAGCAATCATCTATTGCCTTCAAACTTCAGTTTAAGTCAGAATAATTTCCTGTCACAAAAGCTTATTTATTGCCTTTATAAATAAGTTGCATCCATCCTTTAACATTTGCTCACTTTAAAAAATACTTTATTAATGTCTATTTTCTATATTGGATTGCATGTACCAAGACAGCAGTTCCCATACCTACCTGCCTATCATAGTGACCATGGATGACAAAGAATTAGCATTCTGTTTCAAAGAGGGAGCCTGAGATATGGTCACCATTGTTCCAGGGTTCCAAGGAAGGCAGTAGGCTCTCAAATCACCCATCCCAACCAGGGTAGATAGTGACAAATTCTCTTTTTTTCACTGTCTTACCTGGTTACCCAACACAATCCCTGGGACACAGTAAGAACATAACAAGTACTTGTTGAAAAAAATTAAAATGGGATGTGGAATGCTTAGAAAGAGATGTGGTAATGACCTCTAAGACTGAAGACTATATAAATGACCAACTTTAGTTATTAAATTTAGTTTATAAAAATATCTCTCAATAAAATTAGTTCACTGGCATCGCTGCCTACGAAACAGACTCTCTAGGCACTGACATCCTGGAAGCCTCTGAAGTTAAGGACAAGACTCTAACCTGTGGTAACATTGCTGAGGGACAAGCTGAACCTTTGAGAGAGAGAATTTAATTATCAGAGAATGCACTTTTCAGAATATTGTACTTCATAAGCTATGTCATCTTTCAGAATCCCTAAGCACATATGTCTGACCTGTCTTTGTTTTCTTCAAACCTTTTCCAAAGAAGACTCTAAAAGTATTTTCAAGTTAGAGAAATCCTAACATATCATCATAATAGAATTCACAGAATAAATCAATACATGGAGATATATTCTATTGGAAGTATTCTTAGAGTTCTAACTCAGAGTGCTAAGTATGCATCTCTCTTCCTTATTGGACTAAATGGGGACTTCCCTTCCTAGTTTCCCCCATCTGTACCACGTAACTAAAGACAGCTGGCTATCCTTTTAGAGCTTCTGGACGGCATTTCAACAGAATTGTAGTGCAATGAATGAAGGCATTGTGGTGATGTGGGATGCCAGGGAGAAGGAAGAGAAGGTGTGGGATGGGCACTCAACACTAATAAGTTTTGGGGAATAAGTTATGGATAGCCAGACCCTGCTCTAATAAAAAGCCTGCTAAAATCCTTCTCTAATTCCTGATGATTGTTTTTCTTTTAGGGGATCCGTATACCTGTTTCTCTTTCCTGTAATTTTTCTAATTACTTCTACCAGAATCCCTCTCAGTCCGGTATGAAACATATTATAGTCCATAATCCCTGAAGTTACCCTAGAATTATCACATACCCAGGGTATTTGTTTTAAATTTATGTTTTATTATGTTTTTATACTTTATCGATCTTTTAATACTTTATGATTTCTCCTTACTCCTCCTTCTCTACCATCTTCTCTTCCTCCTCTTCTTGCTTTTAAAAATTAAACTAGGTAAGACAAGATCACATGACTTGCAAAGAACCTAAGAAAGAATCATCTCTGTTTCAAAGTCAAATGAAAGCAGAGCATTCCAGGACAATTCCAGCCAATGGTTAAATAAGGTATAGAATTCAAGCATGGATTCCTTTGGGACTGAGGGAACTGATAGGATGGAGAAAGAAAGAAAAGTTACAGCAAGGGCTTTCTCTCTACCTGATTCCTATGAATGCTGCCCTTTTAAACACTAGTCTAGATTATCTTAAAGTCATATGACACTAAAGCCCTATTTAGAGGCAAAATGAGAACATCAAAAGAGGAAAAGAGATGGAAGAGAAAAGAGGAGGCTGGAAGGCAGTAGCCATTAAAGAGGTATGCAATCACGGACAAATGCAGATAGAGTTTATGCAAATTAGGGATAATCAATACATGTACCGATATTTAGTAGCTGTCTTTGGGCCAAAGAAATAAAGGCAGAAAATAAGGTGAAAATGAAAGCAAGTAAGAAAACGAATACAAAAGAGTTTAGGGCCACCACACAACCATCTGTGAGTTCTGTGGACTGTTTTTCAAGATGCCTTAACCACACAAGCATCACCTTGGATGAATTATATTGAAAAGCTATTTGCACTGGGTCAGCTAATGATGAAATGGGTGCTTTGAATTGTTATTTTAAATGGAAATACTCTATGCCTTAGAACAATGTCTGTGTTTAAGTATTTTTTTAACCAGTAACCTCCCTTCAACCCCTGCTTCCCAGCCTTATTTAATATTAATTGAAAATTTCTACTAAATACTGAGTATTAGATTTTTATCCATCTGCAATTAGTTACTATTGTATCAGAATTATGGAATTCTTTAAAGCATAGCACTTTAGCTTATTACGAGTGTGTGGGTATATATATGATATAAAAGATCATATATTTGATAATATATATAAAATCTAGGGACATAAGTTTTTTAGATCCCTGAAACTTCACTGAAACACAAGCAATTAACATGAATCACCAGTATATATGAAATGCTCTGTTCTAGCCATGTCCAACCTATTTGGTCAAAATATTTTCCCTTTGTCATTTAATGATGGAGAATGAGATAACATTGTTGGAGATTAGCAGTCTAAAGTAGTAACCTGAGGAAATGACATTTCACTGGAATAAAAAAAAACACACTTCACACAAAAAGAGAAGAAAGCAGAGATAGGCTTTAAGAAAGCGTGTTATAGATTAGGTAGGAGAAACTATGTTTAGTACTACTTTGGGCTGATAAAGCCATTTAAACCCACATTGATTGGATTCTTGGACATATCACTTTTACTTTTGTCACAAAGGAAAGGCAAGCATTTGGTGGTCAGAATGAGTGTGTCAAATATAATCTACAGTTATATATGTGTATGTGTAATTACTCTAAACAATAAATTAATGTGTTTTCCCTTAATATTGATGTTCTGGTATATGTGTACAAACCCCATTGAAACTTTTTTACAGTAGAGGTTTATTTTTCTACAATAAATATCACACACACACACACACACACATATATATATATATATACACACACACACACACACACACACTCACAATTGTATAATTATTCAAAATAATAAATTGTTATATTTTCCCTAATGCTGATGTTTTGGTATATGTACATATATCTATCAATTTTTTTTTTTAACAGTACAACTTTATTGTTCTGCATTTGGAAAAAAATACAAAAATGTTAAAATATCTACATCATCTTTTGTTAAAATGTACTGGATGTGTTTCTAAAAGCATAACTACTACAACTCAGATAGGAAGAGGGCTTAAAAGGCTAAATATCTACTTCAATCAGAATCCCATGACTTAAACATTCTGCTATACTCTCATAAAGACTACATCTGAAGGCTTCCCGGAATAAATATAGTGAAAGCATTCAATGTTTCATTATTTAATTAAATGTAATTTTTCTTGTTTTTTATCTTTGTCCTTTTAGGCTGTAGGCTTGAAGAGGACATAAATATTAAACAGCATGCCTCAGACTAGTTATCTAATATATGTGATTCAATATAATTTAAAAAATGGATATCCATTTATGTTTCCCCAGTCCAGGAAACTCATGTAAGCAAATAGTGTACAATGAATGAAATGGTAATTTCCACAAATAGAAAATAATTAGAATTATTTTTAACAAACATATTGTATTCTAAGTATTTTAATATATAAATTGCATTCTAAATTTTTAAAATACTTTTCAAGGTATACTTCTTTTAAACAACATATTTAGTTAGCTAAACAAAATAATCTGACCTTAAGTTGCTCTTCCAAAGCAGCAGTTGCGTGATCTCCACTAGATTCATCAACTACCACCACCATGTGAGTGAGAGAATTGACCCTGACTTGTTCTTGTTCTAGATCTTCTTGAAGCACCTGAAAGATAAAATGTTTTTAAAAGAAATTAAAATAATAGTCTTACATGTATGTTGAAATCATTTGCTCTCAAATGGTGAAATTCATTTCTGCTACATCTCAGGTAATCCTATTTTTTATTAAACTAGAAACATTCCAAGCAAATTTTCTGCTACGATGCTCAGCAAAATTTATATGTTTCTATTGTCAATTTAACTGGAAAGTATATAAAAAAGACTAACGTTAAGAAAGGTACTGTAGGATGTTCTGCTTCTCGTCCCACTCCCTTTCTCCTTTTCAAGACTTTTCTCCTGAAACTATCAGCACTTATGGCATTTTCAGGCTCTTTTTCTCTACTGAAGTTCTCCATTACCATAAAAATAAAACAAACTCTTGATCAAACAAACCTGTCCTGCTGCTGTCCTCCTATGTGTTCCTCTTTATTGAAAAGAAAAAAAAGTTTCCTACAGTTACTGTCTCCATATATTTATCTTACTATTCACTTTGCCCACTATCCCACTGAAATACCTTTTGTAAAGGACACTATCAACTTTCATGTCCTAAATTCAATAACCATTTGTTATAGCATCTTACTTGACATGTTGATTACTAACCTAATTGACCACTCCCACATTCTTGACACCCTCTCTTGATCACCCTCCTAACTATGTGCTACTTTTTTTTCTATATTTTGGAGACGGAGTCTCACTCTGTCACCCAGGGTGGAGTGCAAATGGCGTGAACTCGGCTCACTGCAACCTCCACCTACGAGGTTCAAGGGATTCTCCTGCCTCAGCCTCCTGAGTAGTTGAGATTACAGGTGCACACCACCACACCCAGCTAAATTTTTGTATTTTCAGTAGAGATGGGATTTCTCCACGTTGGCCAGGCTGCTCTCAAACTCCTGACCTCTGGTGATTCACCCACCTCAATCTCCCAAAGTGCTGGGATTACAGATGTGAGCCACTGCACCTGGCCTATGTGCTATTTTTTAGCTCCTTTACTGGTTCTTTCTCTTCTGCTCCAACTACAAATCAGCTGTCACTCCTATTTATAAAAACCAATAGACTCCTATCATACTAAGATAGAAAATTTAACTTCTTTACCTGAAATTCTTATATGATCTAGCACCTGCCTACCTCACCAATCTGACTGTATACCATTCTTGCCCTCACACTGTTTCAGAACAACTTGCTTTCTCTCTCTTCCAAAAATGTGTCAAGCTGTTCCCTCTACCGGGATTGCTTTTCCTCCAGATCTTTAAATAATCTCTTTATCATTCAGGACTCAATGTAAGTGTTACCTACCCAGAGCAGCTTTTCATGAGCAAGCTATCCAACGTTCCTCCCTAGTAATTTGCTATTTCTGTCATTTTTTAAATCATAGCATTGTCACTACTCGGTAATGTCTTATATATCAGTTAGTCCTTTTGTCTCTACTTAACCATCATATGCAATCCACTAGAACAGAGATGCCCTCTGTCCTTCTCACTATGTATTACAAGCAAATAAAGATCAATGAACATTTGTCAGATAAATGGTGCCATGTGGGGGTTTGGGGAAAATATGCACAGATGAGTTTGTTCCTTCCTGATTGCACAAAGATTACAATATAGTAGGAAGAATTAGTGATTTTTAGTGTAATCACAATTACACTAATCTCAACAGAAAATAACCACTTGGTCTCAACTGAACCCTGGGGTAAAACCAGCCTAATTCACATCTTGGCTTTCTAACTTAACAAATGTGGCTCTGAAAAAATCATTTCCCCCTATTAAGTGAGGCTGTCACAAAATAGTATTTCCAATCTTTTTAGAAACATGATGTACAATTATTTTGTAATGATGAACAGGGGTAAACACAGGAATAAATTAGGGGTAAACAAAGGAGGCTGCTCTAGAACCAAGATATCTTGCCTGGGTGCTCCAGATCCCTTAAGACTTTACCCTGTTACACTAATTATTATTATTGGGATTTCTCTGAAGAGCTATTTGAGACTTCTAGCCAACTAGTTTGCTTCTTAGAACATTTTGTTATATAACACAAGAGTGGAGAAACAAGTTTGGGACATTTCCTGTTACTTTCTGGCAAACATGCTGTCCCTACTTGCAAAACAACAGTGCTTAGCACCTATCAGTCTAGCTCTTAGGTATTCAAACTCTATGGCAGGTGGAAGGCAACTTATTAGGATGGCTGAATCATAATCTCAAGTGCATGAGCATTTTTATCCTAGGCTTCATATTTTCCAAGCCTCAACATTTTAGAACACTATAAAATCACTTCTTTTACTTCGTCTCTCTAGATTTTCATGCTACATTTTCAAGTGAAGCAATTTAGAATAAAATGACTATGCATTTATTTTGTGTGTGGAATCTATACTGCCTATCATGCCTTTGACATTCCAGAGCTTATAATGGTTAATAAAATTCGTTCTGCCATGAGGCCAAAAATGGAAACATTAAAATTCAGAGTTGTCCTTGACAGTCATGTTGAATCTGTGTTTTCTGAGTTACATAAGACAGGACTGGGAACATTTTAAATGTGTCAGCCAGGAATGTTTCAAATAATAATTAAAATGATAATTTGGTGGCCAATGTATCCTAAGTTGGTTTTCTGAATTTAGCAAATTCTTTTCTGTCCTTCATTATGAGTATATATAATTACATATATTACAAAACTACAAGTAAATAATGCCATAGTTTTCATTTTTACATGTAAATTGCTTTTTCACAATTTTAATATATTTTAGTTAAGAAATGTAAGAAAAACACTGTTTGATCCATGGAATGAATCCAACTCATACTGAGTCTTTTAAAGCATATGTGATCAAACGTACTATTTTCTCCATTACTTAGTTGTTCTGATTTTGTTTCATTTTCCTATTTGTTTTATAATCGAAATGGCATTCTTGCCATATTAATCAAGGGTTTATATTTTATGCTTGGCAGAACTGCTAACACAAAGTACCACTAAAGCGAATTGTGAGATGATAGCATTAAAACCAAACACAAGAACCGTCTCGACTTATGGCGAGTAGAAGGAAATAAAGGAGCAGGGAAAGGCTCTCTACAGTGACTAAGAATGTTGAAGAATCCAGAGTACTGGAGTAGATTTGCATAAGCTGCATTTGATTTAATGTTATTTCCAGTATCTCTTCTCTATGACTTTTTAAAATTATATCTCTTCTTTCTCAGCTAATCAGGAATTAAACTAAAAAAGATTAAACTGACTTTTCTGAGCACACTAAATAGCTGTAAGACAAAAGCTATGGTAAAACTGTAAGCGTATCTCTTATTTTCTCAGACTTCAAATGCAAAATAAATATTAGTGAATATCACACCATTAGCTAATCTCCTTAATATCAGCAAAATACAGATTATAAACTATCCAACGTCCAGGGTTTTGTTTTGTTTTGTTTTGTTTTAACACTGATTCTTACAAGTAGCAGAAATGCCAAACATACAAAGCTGGAGTTAAAAAGTTCAATTGTTCTGCCAATGTAGGAATCCATGAATAAAGGCCTTGATCACTGGGGTAAAGAATGCCTCCCTGCTTCTCTAGTTGGAAAGACATGGATTCTCAAGAGCATTTAAAAAAAATAATATGCTACAGTGTTATGAGGCTATATTTAATTAAAATTTTAAATATTGACTTCTTATGGATTTGAGTTTTTCATAGATGAATTTACACAATGGAGATTTATACTTGATTTGCTAATTAAGCCTGAAATATGAGCCAAATTATTTCTAAATATAGATGTATCACCAGAGAAGTACACAAAAACATTTGTCTATCAGAAAATACCTTCAAATTAAAATATTGTAATATAATATTGTTAAAATATGTTTTTATTAAAAGCTTCCAGATTGCACATACACATGTACACACACATACTAGGTATTTTATTATGCATTTATTTTCATTATTTTATTAAAGGAATGCTTTTGTAACACCAGATTTCCAAAATCTATCATGCTCCTAATTAAATTTCGTTACCATTATTAGATAGATACAAATGTTACTGATGTTTGTTCTCGAATGTCAAATAATGTATTTTTCTCTTTATGACAAGAGAAAAGGCCAACAGTGAGATTTAACATTAAGAATGCTGAGATTTGATAAACAGTTTTTGTTACACCTCTGTGAATAATAGTATTTCTTGTAAATAAGTCTCTAGTTAAAGGGCTTAACAAAATTTGTTACTCCCTTAGTACATGTTCCCGATTTCATTATTTAAACATGACTTTTCTTGTGCTTCTTTTAAATGCCATCAGTGATACCGAATTCTTCTGGCTCTTGTCCATGTCAAAGTTGGTTTTCAAAGTGGCTTAGAATAACCACTGGAGAGCCACTTCAGTGTTTACTCTAGACCTATACTATTTTACCCTTTCTTAGCACACATGTAAAATAATACTTAGGAAATAAAGACATGGAATTATGTAAGGCTAGGGAAATTTTTGATCTGATGTTTAAAGGTGAAGAGCAATAATGAATAGAAAGGTAGCATAACAGAAAACAAAAACAAGGTTGGGTCTCCTGTAAATTCGATGTGAGAAGCTTTTGTTTTACTTATTTCTTTTGGCCATAGCATAGACTCAGCTACCAGAAACAGGAAAGAACAGCTGTTACCTATATGTAGAGTTTTTTTTTTTTTTTTTAACTACTACTCCTACTTCACTGAATAACCAACAGCACATTGCCAGTACTTGCAGGTCCTACACACGCACACACACCCCCCACTAGAAACAACACAGACCACGTGTTCATCATTAATTCGAAGGCCATCTATTGTCTCCAAAAATGACTTTAAAATTAATATATTTAGATGTTTAATTATAAATATTAAGTAGTTGGTAGTTTATCTAAATAAATGCACACATAAGGAAAGACTAATGAGAAAAAAATTGTAGCAAACATAAAATTTGCAAAGGACATTAAGAATTCAGAAGGTTCTAGGAATAGAGATGAGTCTAACATCTAGGAAAGTAGTATCTTTAAAAAGCTGTCTCATGAACAAAAAAA